GTAGTAGTAGTAGTAGTAGTAGTAGTAGTAGTAGTAGTAGTAGTAGTGGCACTACTTATAACACTATGAGGATCAACTGTGATGAATTGCTATTTGTATTTTTCTTCAGGAAAAAACTTTGCACAATTGAGGACCCTTAAAACAAATTCATTATTAAGGATCACGGGCCTTCCTGGACTACCTTGAAAATTTGTTTCGGAACAATCTTGTCATAAAGGATTGAGTAGGGAATTGATGGTTTTGGGAAGCTGTCAGTGTTGAAGAAGAACTATGGAAACCTATACTTAGCAATACTCTCAGAAAACCAACCATTGGCTTAGTAGTATTAAGAATTAATATTTCTATTTCTTAAAGAACATATAATTAACCCTAAATATTTTTCAGATACTTAAAATTAGGATCCCCAAACAAGTTAGCATAATAGAGGACCTTTAAAACAAACAGGGTGTCAACAGGGTGTCAATAAATATTTTTCCAAAATTTAGCATTATAGAGGACTCTTATTACTAATCAAGATTCAACATTACACAGTCTGCGGTGGTGTAGGGATCGTGGTGTCATTAAGTATTTCACATCGTTGTGGCCATGGGCGGCCATGGAGCAAAACCGTGACCCCATGTGACCCCATGTGAAGCCTGGTGGGTTGATTAGCCGGGTCTGCTTCCGTCATCGCTGTCCACCGAAACGACGTCCATCCCATCCGACCCACGTGGGGGCATCCGACCCACGACCGTACGACCGGCGGCGAACTTCGCAGACCGTGACGTGAGGTCTTTGGAACAGCGCAGCTGGCTTCATTGGCATGTCGATGCAGATTCCCATTTCCTTGGACTTCGCCTTGTCGCTCAATCGAGGACGTTCTTTCGCGAGCTCGTCGAACGGAAGAAAAATACACAGCAGAGACATGCAGAGACACCCCGGCACAGACAGCGGTCAAGATCCTTGAACTTGTTCTCCAGGTGTTTGGAGGTAGGTGTACTGCTGGGTGTTCGTTGTGACTTGTAATTGTAGCTGCACTTCCAGCTCAGGAACCGGAGTGTCATAGACGAAGGTCATAAGGTTCAAAAGCCGTGGTTTTGCTCAGGAGCCACCGAATCTGGTCTTTTCCTCAGTTGTGGTGTGATCACTGGATTGTGCCTTGGGCCTTATGCGTTGTACGAGACTGCTCAGTACGAGAATGCTTTGAACCAAGCGATGGAGACCATAGAGATCGGTCGCCCGTGGGTAACCCTCTCACTACACCGTTTTACCAGTGCACATGGTCCGTGTCCGTGTCGGACGTTCATTAAACATCTCCTACAGGGAGCCCGTTTTTGGACACCTGACCTCTTCTTCTTGGTGCCTCATCACGCAAGAAACCAAAAAGCCGGTCGGTGCTGGGTGTTGGCACTTGGTATGGCTCCTGCGACCCCATCAGCTCCCTTTTTTTTTGCAGCGACCATGCATTCCGCATTTTGGCTGAGAAAGACCCTCAAAGACCAAGGATGGCCATGGTGGCCGGAAGCTTAGTTATTTTTTGCGCTGTGCTTTTCGCAAGTGAGTAGCGGCTGGTGGGTCAACGGATACTTGAAAACCTGTGGCTGGTCACAGCAACAGGGCAGCACTTGGATCAATACTACTGTACATCATTTTGCATTTTGGACAGAGACAGCTTACGGCCTTACCGCAGAAACAGGAACCGGCCTTTGCCGGGGTCCCAAAGTCGACTTTGGCAGTCTTCAGACGAAGTATGCACCGCAGTCGGATGACTTACGTTGATATGTCGAGGCACTTTACTCCTGTTTAAAGAACATGTCTAGTCTACGGAAGAAGGCCACAGATAGATTTGTCAAGTTCCAATTGTCGTGGCACTGGTACTCGTTGTGCGTGGTGATCTATAACGCCCAGCTTCGATGGTAGCAACACACACTGTCATGAGGCATGAGGTTTGGTTGCACATCATGGAAGCTCGGGGAATGTTGGCAGGCGGGCAAGTGGCTGATTGACGAAAACAACTGGGATCAGCATCTTGGTCCAATGATGACTCCAGCTGCGGCTTGTAGCCGCCAGCGGCAAGCATGGTCCTGACATAGCTTTTCTAGGACCTCGTTCTTGTGGTGAGGCGTACTATGTAGCTTGTTCTTTTTTTTAAACAAATATATTATACTGTGGTCAGATGACTTAGGCCAAGTACGTCAAAACCACATACAATTTTCCCAAGGAAAGGTCTAAGTCATGTAGAAGTGTAACACCTACAATTTCAGTGGCAAGCACTCATGACAGTTTACCTCTAGTTATGTGTTTTCGCTCTCAAATTCATATGTCTCCAGTGTTTATCCATTGTTTAGATACCAAAGTCTTAGGTCATGACGCTTGTCAATGTAAAATCAACTGCATTGAAGATGATTGGTGACAACCTTTGGCATATCTTATTTTGACGGGTTTTCAAGTTTTTGCTTCATGACATACGACCTTTTGGACGTAGGGCAAATCTTCATGACTTAGCTGCATGAATTTCGAGGTATAGTTCACAAGTTCTTTGTCATTTCACCTAAGTTACATATATGTATATATATATATATCATTGAAGAAATCACAGCGGAAAAGGACAAGTTTTTACAGCACATTGTGCATATTGTTGTGAGCAAATCAATTATGCCTCTTTGATTTGCTCCCCTGATCATGTCGTGCGAAAAGATCCGCACGCGGAGCTCCTTCTTCTCTGGTAGATGACCCAAAGGATCACACAGACATATTACAAACAGCGCGTGCTGTTTCACATGCAAACAAGAGCTTATTTATGGTCATTTAGTGGTGAATCTTAACATGCTCATGAAAACTGTTTGTTTTGTTTTGGGGTTCACCTGAAGAAAAAGGAAGAGTAGGGTTTGCCTACTCCTTCTCCGGTTGCAGTCCAAAGAGTTCCAACGCATCGTCCGCGTCCCTTGACGAAAACACCAGACTCCCGCGGTATAAACAAACTGCTCAACGCATACGACATAATATACCTGTACATATGCCTTAACCTTCCTTTGGTTCCTCTTCTTTCGCTCTTTGAAGCGAGCCCTGCAGCGGGCCCCGCTGCAAGTGTCCTTTCGGGTTAGTTGCAGATCCAATCGATGTCTCCTTCTCTTCCCCCGGCTGAGAGAGGTTCCTCTCGTCTCTGTCCTTTGAGGTTCTACGTCCGCCGCTTGATGATCTACCTCCCGATCGCTGGCGCCTTGCTGAGCTTGGTCTCAGCCGTCTTTGTGAACGAGACTGCGACCAGTGAGAACACGCAGATGGTTTGGCCGTTTGGCGGTACGGGCATGGGCATATACGCATGCGAGTTTACTTCTCGTGCCCGAGAAAAAATACTTGCTTTGGCCCATTCAGATTCTTCTTGACACCTGAAGTATTGAGATTGATTTAGATTCGATGGGCAGCGATGTGTTTTTCAGGCCCCAAGGCAAGGGAAGGGCTGCATGTCCACCCCCACCAATCCGGCACTCCTTGTCAACTCCTTGGAAAAGTGTGTTTCAGGTCAAAACCTGGGGCCCGGGTTGACCCACTGCCACCAGCAGCAACAGCAGAAGCACCACCACCTGCGCAAATTCTTGAACACCACCATGCCCTGCGCCCTGCGCCGGGTACCCGGGGTTGTTGAAATGAGAGTATGAGGCCAAATAGATATGAAACAGAACTCAACCAACAAGAAATCGCAGCAGCCCAGGTTTTGATTTGGTTTCCCAAATTACTGCAATTCCATTCCCCATGTTTTCGAGGCTGTAGGCTGTTTCTCCAGGACAACTCGACGGTCAAAGCTTCGAACAGCTCGACGGTCAAAGCGTCGATCCGGAAAACCAGGTTCCGTCCGGCACACCAGGTGTTTCGGTGTTTCGGTGGTTGCAGTCTTAGCAAGTAGAATATCAATACATGGACCCTCCTGGCCAGGTGCTTCGTGATAACAGGTGCCCAGAAACCACCTGTGAGGGTCTCGAAACAGCCTGTTGGAGAGTCCTGGTATAATATCAATATGGAACTTCTTGTCATTTTCTTTATCCCATTCGGTTGAATGACTGTCGTCCTTGCCACGAGATGTGGACAACTGATGTGATAACAACAGTTTAATATTATTTAATATATACCCTGCCAGCCGGAACCCTAACTGTTCCTCGGGTATGCGGACAAACCCCGGTATTCTTGAAAAATGGGGAAAATTTTGGGTTTCCCGGAAAACCCCGGGTATTCTCTCAATCTGCCTGCTGGGGTAAAGTTGATTGCATTCCTTTGCATGCTGAACAATCCGCGTGGTTATCAAATTTATTGTTTCGTTCCATTTCGTTCTATTGTTTGTTGACACTTTATTTAATATCATGAAAACGATTAAACAACGCAAACCCCGGTTTCCAGTGAAAACCCCGGGTATTTTGGAGAACCCTATAGGTTTTCTTCTGGTATTGGCTGTACAGGTGTGTATATATATATTATAAAAATACGTATATATATATATTGTGATTTCTCGTGAAACCTTGTTCACCTGCAGACCGGTGCTTGTGAAGTGCATTCATCCCTTGAATGCCGTTGCCTTTGCCGCCTCGAGGAAGGCTCACCGGAGGGCTTAGGTGTGGTGGATTGAGGACGATCCTTTCGTTGGTCGTGGACGACCAGAGCCATAGGACGACTACGGAGGGTGCAGGAAAAGCAGCGCGCGGGGCGCGCTCGGTGAAGAGTTTGGTGAAGTGGGGGTGAAGCAATCTACACTGGTAGCGGAGCCCAAGCTGCCGAAGTGGTACATTTGGAAGCAGCTGGGCACGTTGTTAGTTGAACTTGAGCTGCCAACATGTCGGAGGCTGGAGCTGGGAGCTCCACCAGTGGTGCAAAGACAGCATCCATGACCTTGTCCTGCTTGGGGCCAGCTGGTAGACCAACATTCACCAAGCAATGGACCTTGTCTTGGCCTTCCCCAGGCTTTGCTTGAATGTAGGCTTTCTTGCTAGCCCTTGTTTGCTTGATCCACCCAAAGCTAGCAGATTTCTCAAAGCCACTTGCCTTACAATCAAGTGCCATCGTTCAAGCCTGGAGAGACTGATCTGAACGACGAGTGGACTCGGAAAGTCGAGTTCCTCGCGCAGCTATGGCCATCAGAACATCTTCAGCACCTGGCACCCAGGATTGCAATGCAAGCGCGTTTCAACGCGTGTCTCAGGTGGATCCCAAGGTCCTTCGTTCGAACACGACCGTGTTCGAGCAATCGTGGAGGCCCTGGGCGGCATCTGGGGAAAATCACGCCTTGAAGACAAGTTTGAGCGCTTTGAAAGAGCCATATACAGCACAGTTCAGAAGGGAGATGAAACTCACGAATCTTATCTGGCAAGACACGATCACCAGTTTGAAGAACTGAAGAGCATGAAAGTCAGCTTAGATGAATTCCGTGCATATATCCTATTGCGGAACAGTGCATGCATTGAGCTCCGATGACAAGAAGCGCCTGATTGTCGAATCGCAGGGATCCCTGGACTACAAAGAGGTTGTGGCCAATCTCAAGCTCTTGGGAAGTCGCTTTTTCCATGAGGTCCATGCCGGGAAGGCTCAAAACATCCGGACAAAACCATATGACACCACCACGTTCTTTGCCGATGAAGAGCCAGCCATGGTGATGACCGGTCCGACAGCGAACGTGGGGGATGATGAGCCGACTTTCTTTGGCGACCCCATGGAAGATGGACAGTTGGAACAGTGGGCAGAGGATGGCGACCCTGACGCCATTGTGTGCATGCAGTTTGAAGAAGGGTTGGTTGACACACTGCACTCCGACCCTGACATGGCTGCATGCATGAATGTCTATGTTGAAGCCCGCAAGCGGTTGACGGACAAGGCCAAGGGTTGCGGGTTTTGGAATCCATCTCGAAAAGGATTTGGCAAAGGTCGCAGGGGCAAGGGTGACCGGCTCGAATTCCGTCCTCGCAAGCCGTTGGCTCAACGGATCCTTGAATCCAACTGCCGCAGATGCGGAGCTAAGGGACATTGGAAAGCCGAATGCCCGTTGAGACAGCAAGGGAGCTCCGCGACCACTGGTGCCTCCAAAGACGGTGCCTTCGCAGGACTTGCTCTCCAGGAGTCCGATGTCCTGCATGAGGCAGACGTGATCCTGATCGATCCAGCCACTCGGAATGATTGGCAAGTCGTGTTCATGAGTTTGGGGCATGCTCACACCACACATGTGTCTTCACCCCACAAGGGATACCATCAAGTCATGAGGGAATGCTTAATAGGCTGATGCCTTCACTTCGGAGCAAGCTGCACCGATCGACAAGCCTTCCGATTGAGCCTAGGATGACAGGTCCACCGGACCAAGCGATCACTTCCTTCATAAGCCATGGAGCTTTTGGCATAGTTGATCTATAGGAGCTAGTCAAACAGTAATTGGAGAACATCAGGCTCAGGACTTGTTGAATGAGTTGCCATCCCATATCCAGGTGAAAGAAGTTCCACGCAGAACGATTTTTCGATTTGGCAATAGCAGCACAGTCGAATGCAACCGAGCTGTAATGATCCCATTAGGACTGTTCTTTGTGAAGATTTGTGTTTCGCAAGCTCGATGCATCAATCCACACCGCGACTGACACGGTCTTTTTTGGCAAGCTTGGATTTGAACTTTCGCTCAAGCTCTCTGAGAAGAAACTGTATTTGCTCGATTTTGCGCGTTTCAAGGGGAAATGTCGTTTGCAATGTGTACCGGGGGGAACTTGCGTCACCTGAGCCACCCTGACTCTTTCAATAGAAAACGAATGCAGATTTTGACCACGTCTCAAGTCCTCAGCCGATCAGTTGAGCAATGGCAATGCCAAGAATCTCACTGTCACTTGCAGATTGCCGGAAGTTGTCGAGTGCCCGGACTTGGCCGAATGCCAGTGTCACGATACACCGAGCTGTATACACAGACATTCGCCCGCAGAATTAGTCAGATCATCCAACTAGTCCAAAACCAGGAAGAGCAAATTGTCAAGCCCGTGTTCGCTGTTTTGGAAGGAGAACCAGAGGTCAAGCGACGTCGTATATAGACGGCAAGTCCTCGCCGGCGCAACCAACGCCACAGTCTGCTGTCCCTCTCGCGCCGAGCGAAGCGAGCCAGCTATGCAGGAAATTCTCCAAGAGGCGGACAAGATCACACCCAGGGTCGGAAGACTATGGTTAACCAATGGTCCAATATTAGCCAAGATACAACAGGTATTTCCTGATTGGTCCATCGGGGGTAGATCTGTGCAGGGGGATCAATCGACTCCGTGTCCCGCCTCATACATGTACAGCCAAGATGCAATTTTGTAGGAGCTTTGGACGAAAAAGGGACACCCAGCAATTTGTCATGGATGCCCAATGGGAACAATGGGATACCCTTTCCCACCGTCAGCAAATCAGAGGGGGAACTCCCACCAAGATCCTGGTGACCATGTTCGCCACGGCTCCAGATGAGCCGTCTATGAGGGTTCCGGAAGAACCACCTGCTAAACAAGCCCGTATGAGCCTGCCTGCCGAGTCCGATCGGTCCAAGGAGACCCCGGTTGCAAGTGATGACAAGTGTCGGTCCCTTCGGAAACATCCAACCAACCAGACACGCCCGACAAACCTACGACAATCCATGGGCCTATGTTTCGAGCTTTGCCAGACAGAATGCAGACCATGATCATCAAATTGCACAAGAAAGCGGCGCTTCAGAGTGAAGGGTGGTCGGAAACTGTCATCCAAGCCTTGCGTGACTTCCAGTGCGACGTGTGCCATGAGCAACAGGCACCAAAGATCGCTCGTCCGGCACATTTGTCTGAGCCCAAGGAATTCAATGATTTAGTGTCGTTTGATGCTGTAGAGTGGAAGTCATCCCAAAACCAGGTGTTTTGTTTTTTCACTTTATCGATTCCGCCAGCAACTTCCAGGTAGCTATTCCTTATCATCAGGGAACATCAAGAGGGCTCATTTCCTGTTTTCAGAACGCATGGATCCGTTGGGCAGGACCGCCGAAGTCTGTTATGTTTGACAGCTGTGGAGAAGCCAATAGCACCATGTTCAGTGAATTCTTGCAAGAGAATAACATCCATGCCTATATCCATTTCAATCAAGGGCCCACTGGCAGTTAGGCCGCACCGAAAGACACGGTTCCATACTGAAGACCATGACAAATTCCACGCCGAACGACCGATTCAAGACGCAGGCATGTTCGAGAAGGCTCTCGTAGAATTATGTAACGCCAAGAATGCACTGTCCCGACATGCAGGTTATTCCCCTGAAATCATAGTACTGGGCAAACCCCGTCGA